AAAATAAGAAGCAGGGAGACTCCTGCCAAGTGTCACAGATTAAGAAACAACAGAAAAAAAGTGGTCCCATCTGGAGCCAAGATGTCCAGCCACTTGTCCACTGAGTCCCCACCCCGCTGCCTGAACGCTGGGGTCTCTGGGGAGAGGATGATTGTACAGCCCCAAGCCTTGCAGAGTGGAGCAATACCACATCTGGCCTCTAGAACCGAAACAAATCTGGGTCACTTTTTTAATAATTTTTTTTTTGAGACAGAATCTTGCTCTTGCCCAGGCTGGAGTGCAGTGGTGCGATCTCAGCTCACTGCAACCTCCGCCTCCCAGGTTCAAGTGATTGTCCTGCCTCAGCCTCAAGAGTAGCCCGGTCTACAGGTGCCCACCACCATACCCAGCTAATTTTTTGTATTTTTAGTAGAGACAGGGTTTCACCATGTTAGCCAGGATGGTCTCTATCTCCTGACCTTGTGATCCACTCACCCTGGCCTCCCAAAGTGCTGGGATTACAAGTGTGAGCCACTGTGCCCGGCCTGGGTCACTTTTTTAAAAAGAGAGTTAGACATTGGTCTTCCCTTTCCTCCCTTCACACCTGACCCTGCCCTGCAAAAAGAGGACACCACCACTCACCATTTGTAATCTACTGGGCTCACAGGCACTCAGACCTAGAAGGTGCATGGGTCTTTATTTTTACAGGTGAGGAGACAGCGGCCCAAAGCAGGGGGTGCAAGGAGTAACATGCATAGGGTCACACAGTGGCTGGGAACGGAGCCCAAAGTGCAGTCTGGCTCTTTCCTTTACAACCCTCCTCCTAAGAAACAGCTGTGCGCTGGAATTCCCCAGGCAATGAGCAGGGCTGTCAACTTCAGCATCACTGCCTCTCCTGCAGGGGAACAGGAGAGTAAGACCAGTGACTGCCTGGAGGGGGCACAGCCAGACACTGGAGGAACGCGGCCAGCAGGTGAACTTTCTCTTTAGGTATTTCTCTGCATTCCTCTGCCCTTCAGCATCTTAGGTCCTCCTCAGCATGGAGCTACGTTTCATGAATTCATGCTCAGTCTCCGAGATGGAAAGTGGTGCCTTTCCAGGAGTTTACGGAGAGTCCAGTGCTGAGCATCAAGAAATGAATCTCAGAATGTACAAATATTATGTATCCATAAAAATTAAAAATCACAAAAGTAAAATGAAGCATAAGAAATGAATCTTGGCCGTGTGCGGTGGCATACGCCTGTAATCCCAACACTTTGGTAGGCTGAGGCAGGCATATCGCCTGAGGTCAGGAGTTTGAGACCAGCCTGGCCAATATGGTGAAACTTCGTCTCTAAAAATACAAAATTAGCCAGGCGTGGTGATTCAGGTCTGTAATCCCAGCTACTCAGGAAGCTGAGGCAGGAGAATTGCTTGAACCCAGGAGGCGGAGGTTGCAGTGAGCTAAGCTGGCGCCTCTACACTCCAGCCTGGGCGACAGAGCAAGACTCCATGTCAAAAAAAAAGAATCTTATCTGCTGGAATGCCACTCATCATAACCCGTAAGTGAGGGAGACATTTCAAGGTTATTGATAGGGAAGTGCATTCCTGAAGTCCTCAAATCATGGTTCCAAACCTTGGGTTATTCATATTTCATCAGCTCAATTATTACCATACTTTGCATTCCATTTGTATAGATATTTAATATTTCTTTATATCACCTTAGATTTTGAATTTAATTTACATTATTTTATAGAATCTATCACATATTATTGATGTTAAATAGTAATATTAAAAGGAATTGCTGTCACCACTATATATGGAAAACCAGATTCACTTGCCATAAATAGAAGGTAGCTATAAAAAGAAATAATCATGACAGCAGACAGTTTTAACATTCTTACTAGATTCCACTGCCCGCTGAAGGCTTTGAGCCTGAAGCCTGCTCTTTGTTGAAAAGGGAGCCGTCAGCAAATGCAGTCAAGGTGTTGGAGATGATCAGTGCCATACAGCTGCTTTGAAGACAATCAGAGCCAAAGAAGAATAACCTCCTTGTCGGGCATGGTGGCTCACACCTATAATCCCAACAGTTTGGGAGGCTGAGGCAGGTGGATCCCTTGAGCCCAGGAGTTCGAGACCAGCCCTGGCCAACATGGTAAAACGCCATCTCTAGTAAAAATACAAAAATTAGCCAGGCATGTTGGCCTTTAGACCCAGCTACATGGGAGGCTGAGGCAGGAGGATCACTTGAGCCCAGGTGGTGGAGTTTGCAGTGAACCGAGATCATGCCACTGCATGGCAGCCTGGGAGACAGAGTGAGACCCTGTTTTTAAAATAAGGGTCAGGCACAGTGTCTCATGCCTGTAATCCCAGCACTTTGGGAGCCCGAGGCGGTCGAATCACCTGAATCAGGAATTCAAGATCAGACTGACTAGCATGGTGAAACCCATCTCTACTAAAAATACAAAAATTAGCCGGGCATGGCAATGGGCACCTGTAATCCCAGCTACTTGGGAGGCTGAGGCAGGAGAATTGCTTGAACCCGGGAGACAGAGGTTGCAGTGAGCCAAGATCCCGCCATTGCACTCCAGCCTGGGCAATAGAGTAGAACTCAGTCTCAAAAAATTATAATAACCTCCTCACTATTCACTGCTATATGATAGATCAGATAGGCCTGCAAAGATTTTGGGTCCTCTACTTTGCGAAAAAGACTCCTTTTCCTTGTTAGTACAGTAGTGAATTTTAAAAGATTTTTTTTTTTTTTTTTTTTTTTTTTTAAACAGAGTTTTGCTCTTGTTGCCCAGGCTGGAGTTCAGTGGCGTGATCTGGGCTCACTACAACCTCTGCCTCCCAGATTCAAGTGATTCTCCTGCCTCAGCCTCTTGAGAAGCTGGGATTACGGATGCTACTACCAAGCCCAGCTAAATTTTGTTACTTTAGTAGAGATGGAGTTTCACCATGTTGGCCAGGCTGGTCTCAAACTCCTGACCTCAGGTAATCCACCTGCCTCAGTCTCCCAAAGTGCTGGGATTACAGGTGTGAGCCACTGTGCCTGGGGAGCAAATTTTTTTTTTTTTAAACCTGCCATGCGGACAGTACTGAACAATGAATAGAAGTGCATTTTTTCCAATGTGATATGTGATTGTCATGAGTAATTAACAGTGAGCCCTGGTGAGCTGAGGGGCTTTAGGGACAGAGCACAGAGTGCACAGAGCTCTGGGAAGACACAGATGCAGTTGGTGGTCTGTAGACCCCTTCCATCGGATCATTCCATGTGAAGAGGGAGTTGGGGCCGTTTGGAGAAAAAACTCTCTTATACATATAGGGTATCACTCGGCCAACTGCACATGGGCTGGGGCCTGGCTGTGGTTTGAGGATAGTGAATAATCGAATGAGACAGGCTCCTAGAGTTTAAGTAAGAAGTGTAAGTAAGACTAACACTTGTGAAAGGAGACTGAGAAGAGAATGAATAGTATGCAGGCTGTGGAGCAACCGGGAAGTTCAGTGACACAGTCACACACTGGCAGGACACATTGGGGCCTTGCTGAGGAGAGGGGCTCAGCAGGAGTGAGCCTTTGGGTGCAAGGAGAGCCCACCCTTCACTCCTGCCTCCCATTCTTCCCCGCAAAGCCCAGGCATTCTTTTTTTTTTTTTTTTTTTTTTTTTTTTTTTGGCTGTCTTTGAATTAGGGTCTCGCTGCAGCCTGGACCCCCTGGGCTCAAGCAATGCATCTCCTTCCACTTCCCAAGTAGCTGGGACTACAAGCACGTACCACCATGCCCAGCTCATTTTAGCTTTTTTGTAGAGATGGATCTCACAGCCGGGCATGGTGGCTCGCATCTGTAATCCCAGCACTTTGGGAGGCCAAAGTGGGCAGATCACCTGAGGTTGGGAGTTCGAGACTGGCCTGGCCAACATGGAAAAACCCTATATCTACTAAAAATACAAAAATTAGCCAGGCGTGGTGGCAGGAGCCTGTAATCTCAGCTACTAGGGAGGCTGGGGCAGGAGAATTACTTGAATCCGGGAGGCGGAGGTTGCAGTCAGCCGAGATCTCACTGTTGCACTCCAGCCTGGACAACAAGAGGGAAACTGCATCTCAAAAAAAAAAAAAAAAAGTGGAGTGGGGGGCTCTCACTAAGTTGTTCAAACTGGTCTCAAGCTCCTGGGCTCAAGAAGTCCTCCCACCTTGGCCTCCCAAAGTGCTGGGATTATAGGCATGAGCCACCACACCCAGCAAAAGTTCTTATTTTTACTAGTCTGGTTGAATCACTTAATTTTCTGTTTGGTCATTTGTAAAATGCAGCTGAAGATACCTATTCTGATTATCCCACGGGCGTGCTATAAGGACAGGACTGAACAATGAATAGAAGTGTATTTTTTCCAACGTGATATGTGATTGTCATGAGTAATTAACACTGAGCTCTGGTGAGCTGAGGGGCTTTAGGGAGCACAGGGTGCTCGGAGCTCTGGGAAGACACAGGTGCAGTGGGTGGCCTGTAGGCCCCTTCCATTGGGTCATTCCATGTGAAGGGGGAGTCAGGTCCGTTTGGAGGTAGCAGAGTTCTGGGTGGCAGCCAGGCCTCCAAATAAGCCTCACTACTCTGGCTTTTTTCTTTTTCTTTTCCTTTTTTTTTTTTGAGACAGAATCTCACTCTGTCACCCAGGTTGGAGTGCAGTGGCACAGTTGGCTCACTGCAACCTCCACCTCCCAGGTTCAAGTGATTCTCCTGCCTCAGCCTCCCAAGTAGCTGAGATTACAGGCTCCCGCCACCACGCCCGGCTAATCTTTGTATTTTTAGTAGAGACAGGGTTTCACCATGTTGGCCAGACTGGTCTCAAACTCCTGACCTCAGGTGATCCTGCCCGCCTCAGCCTCAGTCCCCAAAGTGCTGGGATTACAGGCGTGAGCCATCGCATCTGGACTCCTCTGGCTTTTTCAGGATAATCTGCTGCCTATGCTGGAGCCACGCCTTTAAAAAGTGGAAAAATCAACAGGCAGGAGGTTGCAGGTGGCTTCACCATTTTTTGTGCCCTTCTAGGTACCAGGATCATCTACGACCGGAAATTCTTGATGGAGTGTCGGAACTCACCTGTGACCAAAACACCCCCAAGGGATCTGCCTGCCATTCCTGGGGTCACCAGCCCTGCCGGTGATGAGCCCCCCACGGAAGCCAGCCAGAGTCACCTGCGAAATAGCCCAGAAGATAAGCGGGCAGGCAGTGAGTGGCGGGGCTTGGCCCTTGGGAAAGAGAATGTATGAGTCTCCTGGAGTCTGTCCACTGGGAGGAATTCCAGGGAGGAGGAACAACAGGGCCTCGGCCCTACCCTCTAAGGGGGCAGCTCAGACCTCAGAGGGCGAGAGTAGGGGTGGGGAGGTTGAACTCTTTGTTGGTAGCAACTTTCACCCTGAAAGGGGCCCGTGCACCTCAGGAAAGATGATCTGGCACCATTTGGTCATGTAATTAGTGCAGAGCTTGTTTGAAATGGCAGTGGCTGCACACAGCAACTTTCTTTTTTTTTTTTTAAGACAGAGTTTCACTCGTTACCCAGGCTGGAGTGCAATGGCGTGATCTCGGCTCACTGCAACCTCCGCCTCCTGGGTTCAGGCAATTCTTCTGCCTCAGCCTCCTGAGTAGCTGGGATTACAGGCACGCGCCACCATGCCCAGCTAATTTTTTGTATGTTTAGTAGAGATGGGGTTTCACCACGTTGACCAGGATGGTCTCGATATCTTGACCTCGTGATCCACCCGCCTCGGCCTCCCAAAGTGCTGGGATTACAGGCATGAGCCACCGCGCCCGGCCAGCAACTTTCATAAGCATCCCCCTCTATGTAATTGTTCCTGAAGCATTTCCACTTGGAACACACCCATGATGTTTGTGGTGCAAGAGACAAGTTATCAAAGACACAGTGTACTTGTCCTTTGGGAAATTACATGTCTACAAGATAAGAAATACATCCGGGATGCCTCCTGTTGGGCTGCTGGTCCCTAGTGAATCTTTATGAAGACAGGTAAAAACAATGCAGCCAGTTGTCTCTGCCGATTTGACCTTTGGTAGCCAGGTTCTTCCTGGTGTCCCCACCTCCCGAGTAATCAGGGCAGCCACTCTGGTGGTGGTGTCAGTGAATGTACTCTTTGTGGCACCCTGACTGGCTTGGCAGAGTGTTGAAGTTCTCTGCTGAGAGAGTGTCTGAGTTCTCGTAAGCACTTCCAGGCAACTATAGTCAGTCTGGAACCCACTGATCCTTCACCCGGAAGGCCATACACCAGGCCCAGACAGGGAGCAGCAGGAACCTCAGCTGGGCTTGCCCTGCTGACAGCAGCTGAATTCATCTCCCCAGGGCCCACAGGACATGATTCATAATTATCTTGGGAACCTCACAGTTCAAGACAGACAGGAATTGCCTGTGTCTTAGTCTGTTTTTTCTGGCTGTAACCGAATACCTGAGACTGGGTAATTTATAAGAAAAGTGGTTTATTTCTTACAGTTCTAGAGGCTGGGAAGGCCAAGGGCATGGTGGCTGCATCTGCTTGGCTTCTGTTGAGGGCCTCCTGCTGCATCACAACGTGGCAGAAGGCATCACAGGGCAAGTGGGGCACAGGAGAGAGAACCAAGCTAGCTTTTTGTTACACTCTTGCAATAACTAGCCCACTCCTGTGGTAATCCATTAATCTAGAAATGAGTTAATCCATTCATATGGACGGAGCCCTCATGACCCAATTACCTCTTAACAGCCCCACCTCTTTACATTGGGGATTAAGTTTCTATATGAATCTCAAACCATAGCAGTCCAGCCCTGTACCCCCAAAATTCATGTTCTTCTCATATACAACAAATATATTTTAGTTGATCTCCCTATCCCCAAAGACTTAACACATTCCAGCCCCAGCTCAAAAGCTCAAAGTCCAGAGTTTCATCTGAATCAGATGAGACTCAGCATGATTCGTCCCAAGCTTAATTCCCTTCCAGCTGTGAGACTGTGAAACTAAACAAGTTATCCACTTTCAAAAACTTAGGGGCTCTTCCTGGCCCCTAAAACATCAGCTGGCGGCCAGGCACAGTGGCTCATGCCCTAAACCTCAGCACTCTGGGAGACTGAGGCAGGAGGAATACTTGAGGCCAGAAGTTCAATACCAGCCTGGGCAACAAAGTGAGACCCCATCTCTACACAAAATTTTAAAATTAGCCAGGCATGGTGGTCCATGGCTATAGTCCCAGCTACTCAGGAGGCTGAGGCAGGAGGATCACTTGAGCCCAGAAGGTCAAAGCTATAGTGAGCTATGACTGCATAACTAACCGCACTCCTGCCTGGCCAACAGAGTAAGACCCTGTCTCTAAAGAAAAAAGCAAAAAGAACAAAAAATTCAGCCCAAGTGATATAGTTTGGATATTTGTCCCTGCCCAAATCTCATGTTACATTGTAATCCCCAGTGTTGGAGGTGGGGCCTGGTGGGACATGTTTGGTTCATAGGGACAGATCCCTCACAACTTGGTGTTGTCCTCATGATAGTGAATGAATTCTCGTGAGATCTAGTTGTTGCACAGTGTGGCAGTGCCACCCCACCCTCTCTCTTGCTCCTTCTTCCTCCATGTCACATGCCTGCTTCCACTTTGCTTTTCACCCTGAGTAAAAGCTCCCTGAGGCTCCCCAGAAGCCAAGCAGAAGCTGGCGTCATGCTTGCACAGCCTGCAGAACCAGGAGCCAGTTAAACCTCTTTTCTTGGCTGGGCGCAGTGGTTCATGCCTGTAATCCCAGCACTTGGGAAGGCCGAGGTGGGCAGATCACCTGAGGTCAGGAGTTCAAGACCAGCCTGACCAACATGGTGAAACCCTGTGTCTACTAAAAATACAAAAATTAGCTGGGTGTGGTGGTGGGCGCCTGTAATCCCAGCTACTCAGGAGGCTGAGGCAGGAGAATCTCTTGAACTCAGGAGGAGGCAGAGGTTGCAGTGAGTCGAGATTGGGCCACTACACTCCAGCCTGGGAGGAGACTATCTCAAAAAAAAAAAAAAAAAACACAACTTTTTTCTTTATAAATTACCCAACCTCAGATATTTCTTTATAGCAATGAAAGAACAGCCTCATATACTAAGCATTCACCCATTGTTGACCTGGCCCTCTGTCCCCTCTCTCCCCAGGTGAAGAGTCACAGTTTGAAATGGACATTTAAAGCACCAGCCATCGCATGGAGCGCTGCCAAGGAGCCACTCAGGCCCTTCCCGGGAGGAGTCCCACCAGCCAGGCCTTATAACAGTGATCATCCTGAGCAGGTGTCGGCGTGGGGTCGGCCACCCCAGCCCTCTCTCCCTCACTCAGGGCACCTGCCCCTCCTCTTTGTGAACACCAGCAGATACCTCCTTGTGCCTCCACTGATGCGGGAGCTGCCGCCCCAAGGGGAATGACCCCTGCCAGCCAGCACACACTGCAGCCAAGGGCCAGGAAGTGGACAAGAACGAGCCCTTCCTTCCGAATGATCGGCTCCTCCAGACCCTCACTGCTGAGGGTGCAACCACCCCTTCCTTAGTGATGTGCCTGGGAAAGCTCCCTTCCCCCTCCTTCCCCAAGAGAGGAAATAAAAGCCACCTTCGCCCTAGGGCCGAGAGTTGGGCCCTGTCTGAGCTTTTTTCAACTCTGTATGGTAACTAACACCAGCTGCTATCTGTACAGTGCTGCTTTTGTTTTTTTGAGACGGAGGTTCACTCTTGTTGCCCAGGCCGGAGTGCAATGGGACGATCTCGGCTCACTGCATCCTCCACCTCCTGGTTCAAGCGATTCTCCTGCCTCTGCCTCCAGCCTCTCAAGTAGCTGGGATTACAGGCGCCTGCCACCACAATCAGCTAGTGTTTTTTGTATTTATCGTAGAGACAGAGTTCACCATGTTGGCCATGCTGGTCTTGAACTTCTGACCTCAGGTGATCCACCTCTCGGCCTCCCAAAGTGCTGGGATTACAGGCATGAGCCACCACGCCCGGCCTTGTCCAGTGCTTCTGAAGTGTGAGGCTATCCTTATTTGAATCTGACTCTGATCCTGTGGGTAAGTAGAAAAACTGTTATCCTCACTTTACAGGTGAGAAGACTGGCACAAGAACAGGTAAAATAAAATTGCACAGCTGCTGAGTGGCACATGGGACCTGGTTGGAGTCCTACTACTTTTTTTTTTTTTGAGATGAGGTCTTGCTGTATCATCCAGGCAGGAGTACAGTGGCAGTGCAGTCCTAGCTCACTGCAGCCTCAAACTCCTGGGTTCAAATGATCCTCCTGCCTCAGCCTCCTGAGCAGCTGAGACTACAGGTTCACATTGTGATGCCTGGCTAAGTTTTTTCTGTGTAGAGATAAGGTCTTGCTATGTTGCCCAGGCTGGTCTTAAATTCCTGGGCTCAAGTGATCCTCAGCATCCCAAAGTGTTGGGATGACACATGTGAGCCACCACACCCAACCCATGCCCTGCTATTCTTGATCTTTTGTTTTTCAGCAGCAAGGCAGCTGCCTTGCTTCTGGGCGTTCTCCCCCTTCTCTCAAACCCAAGCCTGTCAAGTTTGTCACCTTCCCCTCAAGGTCCATTCCATGCCAGAATCAAAGGGAAGAGACCCTGCCTTGGCCAGTGTGTCATCTGATCCACAGGCACTCGACCTTTGCCAAGTGATCACTTTGTGTGAGCTGTCATGAGTGGCACAAACACAGACAGGCTCTCTGCCTTAAAGATTTTCATTGAAATGTAAGATTTGCCCAAAAGTGGGCCAGGCGCAGTGGCTCATGCCTATAATCTTAGCACCTTGGGAGGCCAAGGTGGGCAGATCACAAGGTCAGGAGTTCGAGACCAGCCTGGCCAATATGGTGAAACCCTGTCTCTACTGAAAATACAAAAATTACCTGGGCCTGGTGGCACTCGCCTCTAGTCCCAGCTACTCGGGAGACTGAGACAGAAGAATCGCTTTAACCTGGGAGGTGGAGGTTGCAGCGAGCCAAGATCATGCCACTGCACTCCAGTCTGGGTAACAGAGTGAGACTGTCTCACAAAAAAAAAAAAAAAGATTTGTCCAAAAGTAAAGATAGCATAGGCTGGGCACAGTGGCTCAAGCCTGTAATCCCAGCATTCTGGGAGGCTGAGGTGGGAGGATTGATTGAGGCCAGGAGTTTGAGACCAGTCTGGGCAATGCAGTAAGACCCCATCTCTATAGAAAAATGTTTAAATAGCCAGACATGGTGGTGCATACCTGTGGTCGTAGCTGCTCGGGAGGCTGAGGTGGGAGGAACACTTGAGCCCAGGAGTTCAAAGCTGCAGTGAGCCACGATTGTGCCACTGCACTCCAGTGACAGAGTTGAGGCTTCATAGAGGTGATGCTACAGCTCCAGCCTGGGAATGAGTGGGTTGGGGGAGGCAAAGGCCCCGTGTTTCCAAGCTCAGATGGTCTTGGGGAGCTGGGGTGTTCAGAGATGGGACATCAAATAGCCTGCTTTGGTCAGAGCAGGCGGTTTGGGTGGGTGAGAATGACTTTTACAAATGGCCAAAGAAGGGTGAGGTGTCTGAAGGTCTTGAATGCTAGGCAGAGATCTTTGCTGAGAAGCAATAGGTATTTCTCATTACAGGATATGCTGGAGGGTGGATGGATGGCCTGTGAACAGAGGCAGTGGCTGGCATTTACTTAAGCTCCAGGTACATGGTACTTGTCCACCTGCCATTTGGAGAGCAGCAAATGATCAGTGGCCATGTTGCTTGCCTGGCCTTTTCTATATTTGGGTTGGAGCCCCCTTCCCTCACAAGGACTGAAAGCAGCTGAGTCCAGGTACATGGTGATGTGTGGCAGGCCTGGCCTTTGGCGCACTGCCTCCAAGCACACAGCAAATATCCATATTGATGGAAAAGAGACGCTAAGGATGGGCCACCACCAGTGCAAAGAACAATGAAAGCTTCAAGTAGGCTCAAAGGAGAGATTGGCTCAGACTTCCCAGTTCCTTAGCTTTCAGATAAAAGCATCTTGCTCCAAGGCCAGGTGCAGTGGTTCCTGACTGTAATCTCAGTGCTTTTCGGAGGTTAAGGTGGGAGAATCACTTGAGGCCAGGAGTTTGATACCAGCCTGGGCAACATAGTGAGACCCCTATCTCTACTACCAAAAAAAATTAAAAATTAACCAGACACGATGGCACACACCCGTAGTCCCAGCTGCTTGGGAGGCTGAGGAGGGAGGATCACTTTAGCTCAGGAGATCGAGACTGTTGTGAGTTATGATCATACTACTGCACTACAGTCTGAGCGACAGAACAAGACCTTGTCTCTAAAAAAAGGGCCAGGTGAGGTGGCTCATGCCTGTAATCCCAGCACTTTGGGAGGCTGACTTGGGCAGATCACCTGAGGTCAGGAGTTTGAAATCAGCCTGGCCAACGTGACAAAACCCCTTCTCTACTAAAAATACAAAAATTAGCCAGGCATGGTAGTGTACACCTGTAATCCCAGCTACTCGGGAGGCTGAGGCATGAGAATTGCCCAAACCGAGGCGAAGGTTGCAGTGAGCCGAGATCGCACCAGTGCACTCCAGTGAGACTCTGTCTCACAAACAACAAAAAAAACTCACTCTGACATTCCACCAGAGGTGTTGCCAGCCTATAGCTCCATTTCCCTTCTTGGTCTTATGTCTCAAGGTCTAAGAGACGGGGTTTAAAAAAATGATTTATCTGATAGTTCAGGGGCAGTAAGATAATTGTTCAGGCTGGGCATGGTGGCTCATGCATGTAATCCAGCATTTTGGAAGGCATCCCTTGAGGCCAGGAGTTGGAGACCAGCCTGGGCAACATGGCAAGATCTCCCATCTCTGAAAAAGAGACAAAGAAAAGAAATAAAAGAAGTGTGCATCTTTCCCACTGAGCATAAGCATCCTCCCGAGGGCCCAGGTATGTTCTGAGTGTCAGTTCTGGCTGGGTGCTATGGAATGACCACAATCCACAACACAGTTCTTGTCCTCAAGGAAGTTAAAATCCTGGGGAAAGTGAGACTATTGTGGTCCATCTGAACATGTGTGTGCACTGAGCCCCAAAGCTTCTACAGAGATGCTCACTCTAGGGGACCATCACAGTCTGGCGCTGCCACCCCCCAACATCACCAAAACCACTGTTTCTGCCATTGGGGAACCCCCCGAGAACTGCTGGACAGACGCCACATGCCATGACCCAGGAGAAACAAATGAGTGTTTTTAGCGCTGGGTGTGTTTTCTCAAAGCACTTCCAACCTGATCAAGAGATGAGAAGTCCTCCAAGTAGTAAATGATCATTGAAAATATGAAGCAATTTGGATACATCTTTGTGGCAGGGTGTAAGAAAAAAACGTAAAAAGAAAAAAGAGAAAACAAGGAAATATAAAGCAATACTTAGTTGCTTGCCCAGTGAATGGAGGGGAGGCTGTGCCTGCCCCAAGTTGGAGGAATCTGAGGTTTGAGAAGCCTTCATGGAGGTGTGGCTTAATAGGACTGGTAGGATTCCTGTGTCACAAATGGCCTAAGGTACAGGAGCCCCTAGGAACAGTTCAACTGGAGAAATGTGGACGCTGTTAGGCTTTCTATGCATGAAAGAAGAGGCTGGCCTGGCAGTCGAGATGGGAATGGGGTGTATTGGGAAGGAAGCTTGACACCCTTAGGTGTGGTAGAAGGAGGAGGGATGTGTTGAAGGTTTCTGGTCCAGGAGACCCAGGCAAGAGGTCAGAAAGGAATTGCTGGTTTAGGAATTAGGCAGAGTGAACAGCAAGGAGGCCAAAGATGGAACCGCAGGTAATGTTCCCAGTGAGCATGAGTGGAGTGTGGAGAGCTGAACTGGTGATTTTCCAACCTCCAGACTGCTGTTTGACACAGCTGTGGGCGTCGCTCCAACTCCCAGGTAGCCAGACAGGTAACACCAGGCTGTCTTTCTCCTGGCACCCTTCAGTGTGACATTCATCAAGATGACTCAAGGAAAAGCCTAAGGACATGTGACCAATCAAGAAGGCTCATCGTCGGCTGGGCACAGTGGCTCATGCTTGTAATTCCAGCACTTTGGGAGGCCGAGGCAGGCAGATCACCTGAGGTGAGGAGTTTGACACCAGCCTGGCCAACACGGAGAGAAACCCCGTCTCTACTAAAAATACAAAATTAGCCAGGCATAGTAGCTCATGCCTGTAATCCCAGCTACTCAGAAGACTGAGACAGGAGAAACACTTGAGCCCAGGAGGCGGAGGTTGCGATGAGCTGAGATTGTGCCATTGCACTCCAGCCTGGGCAACAAGAGCGAAACTCCATCTCAAAAAAAAAGAAGGCTCATAGTCTTGCCACCTGAAAACCAGCACTTCCAGAAGGCTGGGATTCAGTAAAAGACTCCAAGTGGTCTTTTCCAGCTAAATTCAACCTCTGATTTTTTTTTTTTTTTTTGAGACAGAGTCTGGCTCTGTCACCCAGGCTGGAGTACAAAGGTGTGATCTTGGCTCCCTGCAACCTCAGCCTCCCAGGTTCAAGCAATTCTCCTGTCTCAGCCTCCCGAGTAGCTGGGACTACAGGCATGTGCTACCACGCCCAGCTAGTTTTTGTATTTTTAGTAGAGAGGGTTTCGCCACGTTGGCCTGGCTGGGTCTTGAACTCCCAGCCT